GGGGGTTGAGACAGACAGGGCTATGGGGCCCAGAAAACTGAGACAGAGAGAGGGCTGAGGCCAAGAAAGCCAGGCCAGAACCAGTGGGCTAGGGTTGGAGGTTTACAGCCAGAATAAGGGTGGACAAACAACCTCCGTGATGCATGGGCGTAGCTGTAGGGTAGGAAAGAGGCCACAAAGTCAGCCCTTAAGGCAGTTAGGGCCAGAGGGGTCTGAGCCATGAAGCAGGATTGTGCGACTAGGCCAGAGCCCCAGGTCACTGGAGGGACTACATGGGGCAGGGACAGAGCCCTGGCTGACAGACTGTGTGTGTGACGGGGTTGAAGCCCAAGTCAGGCAGGCCAAGTTGAGCCCAAGGAATAGCAGAAAACCAGAAGGAGCACCCAGAGTTCACCAGGCTCTCAGGGCAGCCTCCCCTCTTTTTATTACAGTAATACCATTAAGGTGTGACAGGCCCATGAGAGGCTGGACTGAGAGCAGGGCAGGACGAAGGCAGCCACCAGGGGATATCATGGATGCTATTGGGCCCCATCCTGCTGCACTACCAAAAAGACAAAGTCTGTAAATTGGAAAAGATTTTCATGTGATCAATTCAAAATCATGTGAACCCAGTTATGATCCCAATTCCAAAAAATTTGGACTATGTCTTCTTATTTAAGAAGAAGATTGGTGTTTAGTTCTCTCAGAGTTCACTGGCAGCAGTATCCACTTAACACTTTCCGCATAATTATATTTGGTTTTCTCATACGCCTCAGTGGCAAGATTCATCAAAGGTTTCCTCCTTACCACCCCCACCAAGAGAATCAACTGTCCTTAACTCTCATTATGGGACTAACTCATGAAGCTATGCCTTGAGCCTCTCTCAGGACATGGGCACACAGCAGTTGGAATGTTTTAAATGTGGCTTAAACCTGAAGTGGGCTGATATACAAACCTATTAAACTAGTTTAAAACCACTAGGAATGGTTCAAAAGTGTACCTGGAAAATCAAGTATTATTTTGAATTGGTTCAGTGTGAACCTTTCTGTGACATGCATATGGTCAGTCCTCTTGGCATCCCACACTGTTCCTTGACCACTCCCTTGCAACTGGCCCCTCTGGTCTTCAACAAAAACTGTACTGGCCCCTTCTTTGCTCTTTTGTTGCCACTTTTTAGTCCATAAGTGTCACTTGTACGGCCTGTGGGCCAGATTTGATCCACAAAGCCTCCCTATCTGGCCCATCAGACTACCAGATGGCACCAGAACTTGGACCCTTTGGCCCTGTAGGGCATGGCCACTAGTGGTGAGCTTGGCTTGCCATCACCGGATTTCATGCTTCTGCTACCCCCACCCCTGCCAGACTCTGCACTGCCCCCATCAGACCCTACACTTCAGCTGCCACTGGTTTCGGTTTATTTCTGAACTTTGGCTTTGGATTTCCCTGTGGATCTGTTGTCTGACCCCAGTTTAGCTCTGCTCTTGAACTTTGCCTTGTGGATTATCCCTCAGACTTGGTATTTGGCATCTGATCCCCAGATCCTGACCCTGAACTGTGTTGTGGACTCTGCCTGTGGTTTCTCTCTGCAGGCTAACCATTAGGCCTATACCCCATCTACACCCACCCCATCTACATCCACCCCTACTACACCCCAGTCTTACACTATCCACCATATTTTATCATATACAACAGGAGCAATGTGTAGGGGGTGCATGTGGGTGCACGTGCATGCCCTGAGTGTGGTGGTGCACCCCCTACAAAAAGGCACCACTGACACTGTCAGTGACACCTATGGGCGGTCGCTGTTCACCACCCTCCTCCCCGGCAGCGGTGTCTGCAGGCGGTAAGTGATCCCTGCTTGCTGCTGCTACCAGCTGTGTCTGTGGGTGGTTGCCGGCCCCTAGTCGACACTCACCACCGGACCTGCCACTGACAGTGCTGGCAGGGTCTGTGGGAGCTCCCGCTTACTGACACCATGCTCCCACCGCCACCAGGGCATGCATTGTTCATGATATACAACATGTATTTCCCTGCAAAATCAGCTCCCCAAAAATTGGGCATGTGTATTAAGCAAGGAAGCCTATTTCTTGCCCAAGATAAAAGCATCCCTCTTTGATTCCTGCTCCAGAATACAGCACCATTACTAATACTATTCAGGCAGCTGAGAGAGACAATTGACTTAGTGGCCCATTGTTCTTCACTCCACCAGTGTTAACCACTTGTTTTCAATGGTCTTGAAGTTCTGCTAATCAAGCTAACCTTTCTTAGGGCAATTTGCTGCCTGTTAGCCTGAACAAGAAAAGGACAGGAGAAGAGTTCTGCCTCCACTCTGTGTAGCCGTAACTCTGGAAATAATCTTTTTTCCCTACATTCTGCCTTTCAAAAACAGGGTACATATTATGTTCTGGGGCATGTTGTATGCTGGGAAATACAGCAATCCCAAAGCAAGCCATTCCTGGAGAAACTGTAGCCAGTATATATCCCATGTGCCTCCCAGTGCCCTCAGCCATCATGGGCAAGGGAACTGAGGGCTAAGGCCAGGGGTGAATCCAGAGGGGTGCAGTGGTTCAGTTGTATCCTTTGATTCCTGCCCTACCCAAAGTTTAAAACAAACTGGCTGGTGGCAGCAGCAGCATTTCTAGGCAGGCAGTGCTGAGGTAGTCAATTGACTTGGTGGCTCATTGTAATCTACCTGATCCCTTCTAAGCTCTTCATTCCGCAAGTGTTAATGACCCTCTCTCTTTTTTTAATGATATTCATGTTCCACTAATCAAGCTATTCTGTCTTCTGCAATTCTGCTGTCTCTTACATCCTTCTGGTAACTGTAGCTCCTATTTCACAGTCCTGCAGACTCTTTTGAACTGCTTTAACAGTCACTAGGTGTGGAAATAACTTTCAGCAAAGCCTCAGACACTCTTTCCAGAGGCTCAGGAAGGCTTGATTTTTGGTTTCAGAATCTGAAAAAGAGGGACCTTCCATCCTAATGGCTGCAGGACTAAAGCAACATGGTAGGTGTATTTTTTGCCTTCCTTGCAACTTTTTCTTTTTTCATACACCATGTAGCAAACGAATGCACGGCCCAAGAAAGTGAGCTTTGCTTCTGCTGTGAGCTTGAACCAAACAATCTAACAAGCAAAGCTTCTAGGGCATTTTTACACATACAAGTGCCAGAGCACTGGGCTTTTCAAAAAGTGCCCAGTGCTGTGACACTTACAATGTGTAAGTGGCAAAATGTGCATCATCGATAGATTCATAGAGTCAGATTGTAAAGGGCTGGAAGGGACCTCACAAGATCATCGGGTCCAGCCCCCCCTGCACTAGGCAGGAAAGACAGCTGGGGGTCAGGTGATCCCAGTGAGGTGGCTGTCCAGTCTCCTCTTGAAGATTTCCAGGGTAGACGGTTGCACCACCTCTGGAAGGAGCTTATTACACAGTTTCCACACAGTGACTGTGATGGAGTTTTTCCTAGAACTGAGCCTGAAGCGGTCTTCCAGGAGTTTGTATCCATTACTCCTGGTCTTCCCCAGGGGTGCCCTACTGAACAGTTGTTCACCGAACCCTTGATGTACTCCCCTAGTGTAGCAGTAAGCTGCTACCAAGTCCCTCTCAGTCTTCTCTTCTTTAGGCTGAAGAGGCCCAAGTCCCTCAGCCTCTCCTTGTATGGCTTGCTTTGCAAGTTTTTGATCAGATGGGTGGCTCTTCTCTGGACCCTCTCAAGTTTTTCCACGTCCTTGTTGAAATGCAGCACTCAGAACTGGACGCAGTACTCCAGTTGGGGTCTCACCAGTGCTGAGTAAAGTGGAAGAATCAGTAGGTATGCTGGGGATTATTTGCCCCCAAATGGAGCACTTTACACTCTGTTGAACCTCATCTGGTTCCAATTTGCCCACCTCTCCAGTCTGTCCAGGTCTGCCTGTATCTGCAGCCTATCTGCAGGCGTGACCGCACTCCCCCATATCTTGGACGCAAACTTGGCCAGTGAGCTGTTCACCCCCACATCCAAATCATTGATAAAAATGTTGAAAGGCCCCAGACTGGTGTGAGCATGCTTTTGAACTAAAACACCTCACAGGTGCTTTAGTTCAAAAGCGCACCACCACCATTTTCTGCACGCTGATGTGCATTTCGCCACTTACACAACTGGACATAGCACAGCGCAGAGGCAGCAGATCGAATGTGCCCAGAAGTGGCAGACCTCCGGTGCATCACTGAACAAAAAAGTATGTATATAAATGCCCCTAGTTTCTTTTTTCCTCCTGAGGAAAAATGTGTCAGGTTTCCCTGAGGTTACCACACTACAGCCACCTAAGCTTCTGGGAATTAAGGGGGAGCCCCCCACAGAAGCCAAGAACCCCTTCCCCCGGTTAGAGTTGGAGAGCATAACCTGGGGGCATGAACACCGTGTGCCCCTGGCAGCCAGGGGGGCACAGCAAGCGCCCGCAGGTGGTGGCGACGCCGTCGATGGCTGGAGCGTGGTGGCAGCAACCGGGGAGCTCCTGCAGGCAGCCACGGCACTGACCAGTGGTCAGTGGCCACCCGCAGACGTGGCCAGTGGTGACTGCGGACCGCCCGCAGGTGCTGCCGCCTGTGTCAGGGGCAACGGGGAGGGCGGGGCGGGGCGGCAAGCGGTGACCGCCCGCAGGCAGCGCCTTTTTGCAGGTGGTGCGCCGCCACGTTTAGGGGGCCCATGTGCGTCTGCGTGAGCCCCCTCCGCGTCACCCGTGCCTGGAGGGGGGTCCCGGATGGGACTGCTCCTTCACTCAGGTGGGCTTGTTAATCAATGAACACATTTAATTTGTTTTAAAGGCCCCCCGTCCCCCGAGAGTCAAAGGGTAATTGAGCCCCGACTGCAGCTCCCTTTTCTCTGCCATGGCTGAAGCCGTCTTTCTCCCTCAGTGCAGGCTGCCCCCCGCGTGTAGGGGACAGGACAGGACGGGACGGGGCTGCCGGCTGCGCCGGGCTCGGTGTCTCGGCGGGAGGCGCCTGCGCGCAGGCGGCTAGAGCTGGCGCCGCCCGTAGCCCCCGGGCGGCTTCATGCCTATTTTAGTCCGGGCGGGCGCGGGGCGGGACGGGACGAAGCCTCCTCGCGGCTGCGGCGAGACGAGCCGGGAAAGTTCCGCGGCGGCGGCGGCTCAGGTAAGGGGGTACCCGGGCGCGGGCGGGCGGGCGGTCTCGGGCTGCACCTCCCTGTCGCTGCGGCCGGATCGGGCGGCGGCAGCCTTTGCTTTTGCTCCCGGGGGCTGGGCAAAGCCGGGGGGTCGCCGGGTAACTTGGTCCAGTGCTTTACTCCCCTCCTGTTATTCCACCAAATAATTAGGACTCCGGCGGCGGCGGCCGTATCTTTTATTAGGCCAACTAGATAGTTGCAAAAAATAAAATAAAAAAAGTCTTTATTTGCAAGCTTTTGGGCGCACGTGCCCCTCCTCGGGCATAGGAGAGTGCAAAGATGGTAACATTTCTCCCAAGTGGAAATGGAAATTTATTATTATTATTATTATTATTAATTATTTAATCGGTTCACTTTGAAATGGGATGTATTTGTATTAACAAATAAGCAAAAGCCCCAGACAGGCTTTTTAAAATCTCGTCAAAACGCACTCTCTCTCTCACATCTGACAAAGAGCACTTCATGCCCAGAAAGCTTATCTGCAGCTCTCCCAGCTATACAGCTGGTCCAATAAATGATCTCATAAAAATCCTTGCCTCTGAAACTGATTCCTATAAAGTTATACAATGCCACTGACTAGGATTTTTATCCTAGTGAGAGTTTTTCCTGATATCTAACCTAAACTTTCCATGTCTTTCTTTAGCCCAGCTGCATAGTCAATCCGGTCCCATAAAAGACATCATGCTAGGAACTTCTTCCCTCTCAACCAAATAGCATTTGAAAGCCAGGAGAGATGAGTGATGCTATGTGTAGCAATAGATCCCCCAGTCTGTAGCAGGTATGAACTACACAGAGGTCTGCAAGATTTTTTCCTTAGTATGTAATAGTATACATTCTCCAGAGTGCAGGCTCTCTTTTCCCCAAAATGTGTTTGCTGTAGGATTAGTTCAAATGCAGTATGAACACAGCTCCAGATTTTTACCAGCATTCCTCTGGTTGAGGGGAAATTGGCACTTGTAGAAATACGCTCCTTAAAAATTGGCACAGTAAATATTCTACTTTTATAAGGCTCCTAAAAAGAATATTTAGGACTGTGGAATTGCTTACTCATTTGGTAGGGATCCTACAGTAGCTTTATGGGTCAGGAAATATGAGAGTTGTTGCCACAGTGGATCTGTAGCTTTGGGACGCTTGCAAAACACACTCCACTTCCTAACAGAAAGAAAAAAGTTTTGAAAAACCGAAAAAAAACAAACAGAAAATACATAAAACCCCATGCACATAAAAATTTCTTTTCTTGAATTAGGTTTTTTTTTTTAATTATTATTATTTTGGAGAGTGTGCTGGTCAGCCCAGCTATCGGGCAGCATCCTTTAGAAGCAAAGTTTCATTATTGTCTCACTGGTTATTGTATTTATGTAATTTTTCAGTATTTTGTGTATTCGCTCCTTCCAATTTGGTTTTAAACATTTTATTTAATTTTTGCATCTTTTAGTTTTAAAGTAAGCATCTGGTATTTGAGAGTCAAGAGTTAAAGGTTAGAAATAATGCATGCATTTTTCTTCAGGTATCTGGATGATATAACCATAATATAAAATATCTACAATTAATATCGTTTCTGAAAGTATCATAACATTAGGATGATTAGAACAGTTCACTTAAGATAGTAGCATTTTCTGTATCAAGAATATACAGAAGAGAGATAAATTTAGTCCAAAGGAGTTTTGAATTGAATACCATGTCTAAATACATTTTTCTTCGTGTACTTATTTCTCCCTTCATTTCTGTTACAGTATTAGGAGAAAGAAATGGGACTAGGAGTCTGTATTAAGCTAAAAAAAGCCAAGACATGAAGAGCTAAAGTAAAGGTGCTATCATCAGCTCTTTGAGAAAAAGCTCTAGTGTAGTAGTTCTTAACCTTTTTAGACTCAGGGTACCCTTTGCAAAATGCCAACTCTTTTCCTTTATTTTTCTGTAATCAAAAAATGATAGAGCAATCCTGCTGCTGCAGAAAATTCAAAGACTACAACAGGACAGGATTTTTGATAGTATGGATTCCTATTTGAAATCTCTGGGTTTTTCTTGTGAATCACATTTGCACAACTTACAGTGCTAACATTGCATGGGACCCCACGACATCTTTGAAAGGATCTGAAGGTACTCCAGGATGCCATGGACCCTGGTTAAGCTCCCTAGAGCTATAACATATTCTTGGGTCAAATCCTGAAGTTAGATTCACAAGGATCCACCTAAGAGAACAGAGTGCAATTGCTCCAAGGATATTGTAGACGCACTCAAGCTATCTTTAAACTACATAACTTGTGTACTGTTAATAGTGCAGCTGCAACAATTCAGAACCCTTAGAAAGCATAATATTTGCTTTACAAGCCAGATAAATATTTGGATGGGAAGCTGCACTGAAGTCTGTGCTGGAAGTCTGTGCTGGCACAGCTAGACTGCTACTAGTACTTGTAATAACTAGGTTAAACCTAGCTAGTGTTCAGTAGTGGCTGTAATGTAGATGTGCCTTATGGCCAGTTTTTTAAGACTATGCGGGGTGCCAACAGGAGATGCATTTTTGGTATTCAAAAGTGCCTAGGCTCGTAGTTTCCAATGATTTCCTTGGATCATAGACACCTTTGCAAGAGTAGAAATCTAGCTCTTATTGTATATGCAAAATTAACTGATGGATCCACGTTCATAAACAAAGCCTAGATCTAGATTATTTCCTTCAGTTCAAAATAAATTAGCTTTTGTGGGTCTAATAAGATTAGTACTAATATAGCAGCTGTATTTTTCTGTCCAGTTTACAAAGAAAATAGTTGAATACGTTTTTTCTTTAGAAGCTACTATAATGAATTAATTTAGTTTTACATTATCATCCTAATCCATAAAAATCCAGTTTTGCTTCACTGTTTGTTTGATACCTGCTTTTCTCTCCATTCAGGCAATAAAATGGGCTTAAGAATTTGCAAATTCAGTTTGTTTATAATCAGTGCTGGAAACTTTTGTGTCTGAGTGGCAGTTAGTTGTTTAAAAAGCACTTTTATTGGAATATTAAAGATTAATCAATGTTTTGTTTTAGGTTTTTATTACAAAAAATGAATAAACAAAACTTAACTATAACTTTTAGTCAAATATTACTCAAATATAGGCTAAATGCAAAAATCCAATTCTGTCAGTGGAATTTATAACGTTAAAATAATCAGTTTGAGAGGCAAGGAGTTTTATAATGGCATTTATTGGACCAACTGTATAGTTGGGAGAGCTGTGAATAAGCTTTCTGGGCATAAAGTTCATTTTTTCAGGTGTGTGAGAGAGAGAGTTTTGAAAAGAGTGTCTGGGGCTTTTATTTGAAATGGGATGTATTATGTTAACAAATAAAGTGCATTGGTATAATAATATTTTGTATACTGTAAGCTTAACTGAAAGTAGGAAGTGCTTGTTACTCCTCTGCTTTCCACATACTATGAACTTCAAGGTCATAAACTGATAACTGTGTATGTGCCTCTGGATTTTTCTTCCCTGTTACTGTAGTATTTGACTGCTTTAACAGTTGGGGCCAAAGGATCAAAACTGAGTTGCAAAGTTGTTACTTCTAATATTTTTTCCTGGCATCGTATACAGATAACTACTTAAGATCAGACTCCAGTTCTGAAGCAGAATTGCTAGTTGAAATTCTGGGCAGTTCTGTGTGAGAGCTAGTGGTACAATCTGTACTCTTGTCATTTTGTAGATAGGATAGATCTATTTCTGAAAGCTCTTAAAAGGCTGCTTGTCACAAAGTGCTTCAGCCTTCCACTATCTATTTTCCAATGTGTCACTAGTGCTACTATATTTATTTGAAGGTAATAAGTCAACATCAACTTTAATCGTAGGAAGACTTCAAAAGGATTAAAGACTGAGTTAAAAGAAAGTCAACCCTAAATTTAGATTCCAAAGTCCATATTTAGGCACATAAGTTGCCCAGATTTTTTCAAAAGCGGAACATGTCTTGCAGTTGTTGCTGAGTTCCTGAAGGCTTTACAGAAGTTTGTCAGTCACCTTTTGAAGGCCCTTCTTTTCATAATGAGAACAAGGCTTTAATACAAGTTGGCTTTCAGTTTGACTGATGGGAATGCTAGTATAGGTTTGGTTGTAGTATAAATGGTAGATGTGACGGTCAGCCTCTATGTAGTTGGCTTACAACTACATTGTAAAGGCATTTTCCTTTGAACATAAAATCCCATACTTTGTGTCCGTGGGAAGATCTAAGATTTCCTAAAAGGGGTGCAGCACACTGCCCCTCAAACCTTGAGGGGGCGGGGAAATATGCAGGTGAGGTATGGCTGGAGCCTCGGAGACAACAGTGCATGCTGGGAGGCAAGACAATCGGGGAGCAGGCTCATGAAGTGGGGGCCTCTGCCTGCTGCCACTGCTGCTGCTATCCCTACCTGACCCATGTATGGGAAGGGCCCCAGAGGTGCTTTTGCTTTTTCTACTCTGGGACTGTGAGGAGTGACTATGTAGGGTGCCATGTTTGGCCGGGGACAGCAGTGGTGGCACGCAGGTTCCTCCATCCAGAACATGCTTCCTGCCCTCTCCTCTCTGGCTCCCCTCCTCCAAGTGTCCCCTGCCATCCTGGAGCAAGTGCTGGAAGGAAGGACATGTACACCACTGCCAGTGTCCCTGGTTGCACCTGGCATCTCTTGCAGCTGCTGCCCGTGGCTGGAGTTGGGCAGAGCAGTTCTGGGGCTCCCTCCAAGCCTGAGATAGCAGCAGCAGGGGCCAGGTTTCTGCTTCCAGTGCCTGCTTCTGGTCAGTGAGGATCACACTGGGGGAGCAGCAGGGACCAGTTGTAGGAAGGGGTAACCCGCTTACTAATGCTGCTGCCCTCTATCATGCCTGGTACCCTGCATAGTTGCTCCCTTCAGCCTGGGGATGGAGTGGGGCAGGAATGGCTCTGGAGCTCCCCTTGTGCCCAGGTCAGCTGGAGGCACTGATGGCAGCAGAGGGGGAGTGCAGCTGCACTGCTGCATCCTCCTGGAGC